CCTCTCTTGAGTCAGAGTACCTTGGTAAAACCTCTTTAGAATCCCCAGAGTCCACTCTGTGCCGTCAGGAGACCCTGGAGCCCTCTCTGTGCCATCCAGAGACCCCTGAGCCAGAGAACACAGAAAACATAATGAAAATGTGCTGCTGCATACAGAGAAATCTGAAGAGATATAAGCTCTATATTATTTTCTTAAATCTCTCTTTACTTTCATCTTTCTTTATTTCACTGGTCTGGGTATTTAGAAAAGAGAAGCTCGTAGAGGGCATAAAACTGTTGAGTCTATGAAAAAGTCTAAATTGTGTTGCCTACCCATCAGTTTTAGATTTAACATATGCTAAACTCACTGACTGCCATGTATAATAAAGTTTTTCACAGTTGATGTATGGGATAGAACTTTGAGGAAGTGGTGACTAGTTGTAAAGACATTGTTAACGGATAGCAGAAGTTATTCAGTTCAGCTTCCTTGTTCTCCCCCTTCTGACTTAGCAGCCTAATGATGGGTGGAGCCATCATTACACAGAAAACAAGCTCCACCACTTCTGTTGGACAGGAAGAAAAACACAGAGTGTTGCTGTTACTGATAGCTGAAATGGAGCCGAAAAGTGGTCAACTGGACCGAAGTAACTTCTCCTGTTCCATCTGTTTGGATCTATTGAAGGATCCGGTGACTATTCCTTGTGGACACAGCTACTGCATGAACTGTATTAAAGACTTCTGGGATGGAGAAAATCAGAGGAGTATCTATAGCTGCCCTCAATGCAGAAAAGAGTTCAAAGCGAGGCCTGTTCTTGAGAAAAGTGTCATATTAGCTGCTTTAGTGGAAGATCTGAAGAACATCGGACTCCAAGCTGCTCCAGCTGATCACTGCTATGCTGGACCTGAAGATGTGGCCTGTGATGTCTGCACTGGAACGAAGCTGAAAGCTTTCAAGTCGTGTCTGGTCTGTGTTGTTTCTTACTGTCAGAGTCACCTCCAGCCTCACTATGATGTTCCTGGTTTGAAGACACACAAGCTGATGGACCCCTCCAAAACGCTCCAGGAAAACATCTGCTCTCGACATAACGAGATGATGAAGATTTTCTGTCGTACTGATCAGAAGTGTATATGTTATCTCTGCTCAATGGATGACCATAAAGGCCATGAAACAGTCTCAGCTGAAGCAGAAAGGACTAAAAAGCAGAAGGATCTCAAAGTGAGTCGACAAAAAATCCAGCGGAGAATCCAGGACCAGGAGAAAGATGTGAAGCTGCTTCAACAGGAGGTGGAGGCCATCAATGTCTCTGCTGATAAAGCAGTGGAGGACAATGAGAATATCTTCACTGATCTGATCCGTCTCATCCAGGAAAAAAACTCTGATGTGAAGCAGCAGATCAGATCCCAGCAAGAAACTGAAGTGAGTCGAGTCAAAGAGCTTCAGAAGAAGCTGGAGCAGGAGATCACTGAGCTGAAGAGGAAAGATGCTGAGCTGGAGAAGCTCTCAATCACAGAGGATCACACCCAGTTTCTCCAGAACTACCCCTCACTGTCAGCACTCAGTGAGTCTACACACTCATCCAGCATCAAACTTTGTCTTTTGAGATATTTTGAGGAAGTGATAGAAGCTGTGTCAGAGCTCAGAGAGAAACTAAAGGACATCCTAAGAGACACATGGACAAACATCTCAGTGAGAGTTGCTCAAAAAGATATTTTAATGTCAAAAGCAGAACTAGAACCAACTTGCAGAGCTGGATTTTTGAAATATTCACAAAAGATCACCCTGGATCCAAACACAGCAAATAGGCAGCTTTTATTATTTGATGAGGACAGGTCAGTAAGAAGAGCAAAAACAACTATGTATTATCCTAAACATCCAGACAGATTCACTGAATGGATTCAGGTCCTGAGTAGCGAGCGTCTAAATAGACGTTGTTACTGGGAGGTGGAGTTGAGAGGTGGAGGAGTGGAACTGGCAGTTTCATACAATGACATTAGCAGAGTGGGGCTTTCTTCTGATGCTTTGTTTGGATCAAATCATAAATCTTGGTCATTAAGTTGTTATAAAAAAAGGTATACATTTGGTTACAATGAGGTTTTTACTTCTGTATCAGGTCCATATTCCTCCAGAATAGGTGTGTACTTGGATCAAAGAGCAGGTATTCTGTCTTTCTACAGCATCTCTGGAACCATGAATCTCCTCCATAGATTCCAGACCACATTTACTAGGCCATTATATGCTGGCGTCCGTGTTTGCCATGTTGGATCATCAGCTGAATTTATTAAGTTGAAATAGACAGAATTTATCTGAGGTCTAGTTGGTTAAAAGTTGAATCTTTGTTTCAGTTTATTTTGTCTCCATCTTTGTTGCTGTCACTTCTTAACTGATTGGAGATCAGCTGTCAGTATGGGCCGCAACTATCATCTGGTTTGTGATTATGGTTTCAGTCAGGGAGGTTATTAGTGCTCCTAAAATATTACATTTACTTGTATTGCTTCAAATTCATGTACAGAAGAGCTGATGAAAATGAAAATGATCATTACTATCATCAATTAGGACATAATTGATTCTGTTACTAGACTAAGATCAGTATCTGGATCAGAATGATTCTAGAAACCTAAAGAAATCTCTTTATTAATGTTTTCTTTCTATGTTTTCGTTAGTGGTAGGAGCACAAATGTTATGTTTAGTTATTTTACACTTTCGTTTGCGCAGAGAAGTGATCACATCCTTAAAATGTTATCTGTTTTACTTGTATGAAACTTTTAAAATCTGTAGAAATTCTTGAACGTATTTGTTTTAAATGGGATGTTAGTTTTCCTTCATGCATTAAACTCAATAAAACACAATATTCAACATTAGAATAATGGATTTATTCTTAGAAACTAGATTTTTGAAAGTCCTGTATTAATTAAAGGTAATTTATTATCCAATGATTTATGATCCAAAGTTTGCAGTGTATACGTTCCATAAATCCAGTCTGAAATCTTTTCTAGTTGAAGCCAAGAAGTTGATTTAAAATATTGCTAATTTTCATATCAGGAGGCTTAAAAATTTAAGACTTTTAGAGAAAATGAGATCAAAACAATGAGATGGTTATTTTAACTGACCAGGGGGTCTCATTTATAAATGATTCCATGGAATTTACTAAAAGATCTACAAATTAAGTATACAAATGATGTTTCAGATGTATCAAACTATGCACACTCATGAAAATAAGAAGTTTGTGATAAATTACAAAAAAAAAACATATCTAAAAATTAACAGAATGTATTCCAATTAATCATAACATATTGATCACAAGCAGGCAATACAGAGAAATAGTTTTCCTCAGGGATGGACTGCTAAGATCAGATAAGTAGTAGCAGAGAATAAGCTCCGCCCTTCTTTATTTACCATCAAGTAACACCTTGTAAGGGTGCTTCCTGCATGTATCAGTTTTATCTATGGGCATAAAGAAGAATCTGCTTTAACAGGTTTTCTCAAAATTGTGAAGCTTGAGCTGTCAGCACACGTCCAACCACAACATTTCCAAATAAGATAACAGCAGTTTAACAGATCATCATACATACAGATCATGTTACGTAAATCAGAGTATAAAATTATATCTCTTTACAGACATAAAGGTTAATATTACCAATATTCATCAAACACAGGTATTAGTTATATGTAATATTTGTGTACTTTTTATAGGGATTTCTGAACATAGACTTCCATGCTTAGGTATTTTGACTTTTTAGTTTATATGCATGAAAGCTGCTTAGAAAAAAAACAGACACTGAAACTGCATGAACTGAGAAATATGAGGAAGTAGTGATAATCAGATAGTTAAATCTACATTTTGTTCTCTTTAGCTTGTAGCTCTAAATAGAAATAGTTTTTTGTTTTTTTTTTGTATAGCTTTTAGGCATTCCATCAACTAAGACAACTAGTTATAGGGCCTATATGAACCAAAATCAACTTTTTAAAAGTTTGATATTCCTTTATCTAAATAATGCACAATGTGGTATTTTGCTTTATTCTTACATCTCTGAGAAAGCCTCATCATTTCATTTAAAATTCGCCTTTCTGAGCAACAGACCCTCACTGTCTTGTAAAAAAAAACAACAACTGGAGAATCTACATTAATGGGCACATTTGAGATGCACAGTGGCTCCACTGCAGACAGAGTGATCAAATTGAAGGGGTTTGCACTGCATGAAGCTCCATGTGCAGTTCTTCAATGCTGGTTCCTTTTTGTTTGTTGCTTCCTCATCTCTGGCTCCCTACGTGAGCTTTTCCCTGATGTTTGCTGATTTTTGTATTTTTGGTTGTTTGCCTGAGTTACTTCCTTAAACGTACAAGAACTCATCTCTGCTTCCCTCATTTCTGCTTTCCTCATCTCTTCTCCCCTCATCTATGCATTTGTGCCCTCAAACACTTTCTACCTGTTTAAACTTTGAATTGATTCCTGACACCATCCTGGATTTCCCTTCAGAACCTCAATCTGCACTGCTGTAGGTGCACAGATGGAGTCTCTGATCAGCTATTTCTACAGAAAAATTGCAGCTGAACTCGTAGAGTCAACATAAGTGGTTTGAATCACCCTTAAATTGCAAAAATGTATTTTTTGGCCGCAAGATGTCACCTCTTTTTTCCACCTTCCTAAAGAAGATCATAATCGGCAAAAGTAGCATGATACTGCTGTCATAGAAACAGCTGCACCCACAAAGGGATCACAGGGAGAGTTAGTTTTAGTAGACAAAACACAACTTTCTTATTTTTAAAACTCTCCGATTGCCAGAATTATGCACTCCTTTTATTGGGCGAAACCAAACAGGTTGCATGTTTTAACGTTTGCATAGCAATTTCTGTACATCCACCGCAACACCTTCACTTATTCTTTTTGTAATTTTGCACCCCTTATTTAGAATATCTGATAATAAGGTGCTACGTAAGCCAACATTAAAATCTAAAAAACGCGTCTTAAAGGAACAGCACTAGGCTGATTTAAATCCTATTTATGTGACAGATTTCAGGTGGTTCACATTAATGATCAATATTTCTCATACTCCAGGGTAACATGTGGAGTACCACAGGGGTTAGTGCTAGTGAACCTATTACCTGCAATGCCAGCATAGATGTTATAATCCCTCACTATGATGACATTTTTAGTATTTAACACAAATCAGACAAAACCCTGATCTAAAAATTCAAAGTAAGGACCCGGTAGACCATATAAAGCTACAAAAAGAAGAGGCTTTAATGCTTTGAAATTTGTATAAGGGAAACTAAGGCTTAAATGTTGAGAGTAATCATTTTTAAATGGCTTTGGAGTTATCAATAAGTCACACTAATAGGTTATTGCTGCTCCTTTTCACGTGAAACATTTTTAAAGTGTCTTGAGATGACAACTGTTGTGAATTAGGACTACATAAATAAATTGAATTGGAAAATAAATTTTTGTCAAAAAGTGACTCAATTAAATGTAACTGAGTAACTAGTTACTACCCACGTCTACATTCCACACTAAAAAGTATTTAAGTATATCTGATTGAAGATAGCAGTATCGTATCGGCTCAGTATCATATCTTATATAAAAAAGCTGCATCAGGACATCCTTGGTGGAACATGCTGTAGTGTTAGCTTTCTGAAACACAACCAGAAAGATGCATTTAGAGGAGGTGAAGAGTCCAGCAGCAGCTAAAACAAAAAGGAACTTACTTTAATAAAAGATCATACAGTAAGTCAGTGGCAGCCGGCCCATAGGGGGCGCTGGGGCACCGCCCTCCCTGATAAGAAGAGAGAAACGTAAAATCTATTTTTAGAAATTAACTCATAAATGTCAGTTTTACTCTCTAGAGTGGGTACCTATAAGCAAAACAAATTATATAAACTACATTTCCCTACCTACTGTCATTCATTTGTGGATTTCCACAGACAGACTCCTACAGTCTCTGTCTTGGGGCTCTGATCAGACTGCCCCACATTTGCAGAGAGTCTTTGCTGGGTTTAAACCCAGTTTGGTGTAATTGAATAAGTCAGTGAATCTGTGTAAAGGAATTAAGTTATAAAAATGAATCGTTTTTGTATACCATTTTTTAGACATAGATTTCCTGCTATAGCTGTAACCCATTCAAAGAACACAAGAAGAATACAAATGCATAATATTATAACAACTCTATAAAGAACTAATGTCAAACATAAGTTGAGGCCTTCTCCTTTTTCTGTTGTTAATTGCATTTATGCCAAAACTGACTAACTGTTATAGCTAATCTATAACCCATCTCGTAATCGGTGGATTCTCTCCCACTTTATATACACTTTTTTGATCTTGTTGCAACTTCAACTGATGCTGCATAATTATCAAAGTGTTTTAGTTGATACATCTTCACTCCATCCTGAATCAGAAAAAAGCATATGTTGTGAGGAGGGCTCAAATTTGATGTATTTATATCATGAACTCTAATTTCTTTCAAATTTTGCACCCATGCACGGTTTTATGAGACGTTTTGATGATGTGTGCAGCTGTGATGGCCGAGAGGTTAAGGCGTTGGACTCGAAATCCAGTGGGGTTTCCCCGCACAGGTTCGAACCCTGTTCACAGCGAACTCAATTGTTCTCTTTAGTCCTTTAGCATAAAGAAAACACATCTTTATTTGCCAATCTGCAATTATATTAGAACTCATATTAATCCTCATCATGTCGTTATTTAATTAAAGAAAGTCCTTTCCACTAGGGGTGTCAGCAACAATCGATTCAGCGATGCATTGCAATGCGGGGCATGCACGATTCAGCATCGATGTGGCAACGTGCCATAATGGATTATGTCACTGTTTATTTTCTGGCCTCAAATGGACAAGTTGTGAAGTTTCAATTACTTCCGGGGAGATACCAACAACAATCAAGATGGCTGAGGCGGAGGGAGATGACCGCGATAGACGGGTAGGCCTAATTAAAAACGCACCCAAAGCTTGGAAAGCGGATATCTGGGCACATTTCGGATTTTACGAAGTCAATGGGATTTTGATGCATCGTAGAATTGAATTGAATCGAATCGTTACATGGTGAATCGTAATCTAATCGAACCATGAGGGCAGTGCCAATGCACACCCCTACTTTCCACACAATAGTAGAGGAGGTCTTGATGATACCTACATACTGTAATCGGTTCAATTGTATCACACCAGCATCTTTTTAGCACAAATATTTATGCAAAGTGTGAAGTGTATAAATTTTTTGACCGTGTCCATCCACTTATACTCCGTATCCTGTTTTATTACTACATTGATCATAACCGTTTATACTCAGCAGCTGTGATGGCCGAGAGGTTAAGGCGTTGGACTCGAAATCCAATGGGGTTTCCCCGCACAGGTTCGAACCCTGTTCACAGCGATGTCTCTTTAGTAACTTAAATTGAAGTAAAACAAGTGCCTATCTCCAGCAGTCAATGGGTGAGAGGCGGGGTACACCCTGGACAGGTTGTCAGTCCATCACAGGGCAACACAGGACAAACAACCAATCATGCACACACTCACACCCAAGGACAATTTTAGAGAAGCCAATTAACCTAATAGTCATGTTTTTTGGACTGTGGGAGGAAGCCGGGGTACCCAGAGAGAACCCATGCATGCTCCTGCTTCACAAAGGTAGGCAGCAGCTTGACAAAGCCATGATGGCAATTATTTTACATCCAAGCAGTATGCAGTTCTTCATATATACACACACATCAATTTCAAACAGATGGNCCAGCATTCTCTAATTCTATACAATTTTTTTTTTAGCACAAATATTTATGCAAAGTTTGAAGTGTATCTATGTCTTGATCATTTCCATCCACTTAAACTCCGTAACTGTTTTA